TCTGGTTATTTACTCGTCAGGTGCTTATCATCCCCCAAGCAGAACTATTTGGACAGTTCCTTTCGCGTTGCCTCTAATCGGATGAGACTTCATCTGCGGGAAAAGGTTAGTTTGTCAGCATGCAGATGGCTGGAATTGTATGTCCAGTGTAGTGAAGTTCTACCATGAGAATGAGAAACCAGAGACATCGGAGGTCATTCGAAGAATTCTAAACATGGCTAACATTAGAGTAGCTTTCCAGAGGGGGGACACTCTCCAGTGGTGCAGTTGAAGGATTGCCTCCCGGTAAACAGAACCAAGGACCGTATCTACAAAATTAAGTGTAACGACTGCACCAAGGTCCATATAGGACAGACGGCCAGGGAACTTCAATTCGGAATCGAAGAGCGCAGTAGAAAAATAAACAGGCCGCCGAGAAACACAGATGAATATCAAGCGTTACTGAAAGACTCGGCAATCGCGGAACATGCAGTGGACAAGGGACACTTAGAAAATGTTGAGGTGTTGAGGCGAGGATTACGATCCACGTCACGGAGACCGATAGCCGTGACGGTAGAAATCGCCAAGCATCCCAGTGTTAACAGAATAGAAGGCGTGGAACTGGAAAGCGTGTGGAGTACGGTCTTGGGTTAATCTAGCTAACACGTGTTGCTGTGCAATTATCAGGGGGAAGAGTAGTCATCATCTGGATTCCCCTTAACCTTACCCACCTCCCCTCCCTTCCCCCAACTAAATTGTCGCAACATTCACATGGCCACGAAGACCAAGAAAAATCTACCAGTGGCACCGAAGGTGAATCATCAAATGAAGCAACCTGAAGTGGAAGATTAAGGAACAAAACGCGATCCGAGCTAATTTGAAACTCGAATATACACCCATCTGCAAACTAATTTAGTTCTTTCGTTAGGCTCACCTGGAACCCAGCTGAATCTCTCGTTTATGATGTTCTCAGGCAACTGAATGTGCTGCACCAGGCCGCCTCATGTTTCAGTCGCTACGATATTTGAAATATCGCGATAAATCTGTGTGTGTAATGTAATACTCATAAGGTTGCTGAAAATCCATCGACAGCCCACGACCGGTTTCGCCCTTCTTGGGGCTCATCAGGTAGGCGCAGTCCCCGGGTTTCCGTCAACCTTATGTTCTACTTGAAACCAAATTGCACGAAATTAGCGAATATACACTCATCTGCAAACTAATTTGGTTCTTTCGAGAGACTCACCTGGAACCCAGCTGAATCTCTCGTTTATGATGTTCTCAGATAACATCATTACAAATAATTTGAAACTCCTTCAACCTATCGATTCAAGATTTTGGCGACCACACTAGCCAACAAGAGCCGTTAATTGACACTCAACACTTGTGTGAAGAGGACCTGCTGATTAGTTCCCTGTCTCTCTTATAACCTGGCCAATTTGGTGACCTGTTCACTTAGCCTGGTGAAGCTTTTGTGTCAAAAATGAAATGTTGCCCAAATAAAAACCACCGATCGTTTACCAATCTCTTCTGAAATGAAAGAATGAGCAGATGTCTGTTTCATGAAACATTTGTCACTAAGTGTTGATAAGCCAACAGCTTGTCGGCAGTTTGTTCAGAGTCTACCTCACTGGACGAGGATAACCTAATTGAAAAGTTCTATCTTTGCTTCACGGGACAGGTAAATTTCGATACTATAAACAAATAAAATGGTTTTGTCTTCATTTATTTTAAATTAGTTAGAGTCAACTAGAATTAAATAACACATTTACGGCGGTATACATGAACTCGTGTGGTTAGGGCGCGAACCTAACGACCGGAAGATCCATGGTTTGAACCCTGTCTCAACATCTCGGCTGCTTCTGTCTGGGCTTGGAAACCTGACAGAGCCTTCGTGCTTCCTTCGGATTGCATGATAGCTATGAACCGAAAGATGTTACAGCAGATCGACTATTATTGTTATTATCAATAGTAGTGTTGGCAGTAGTATGTGCTGTGCAAAAACATACGGCAACCATAAAAACGAGTGCTCCATAAATCGTTGAAGTTGCCACCTTCCAAAGTTATTCCTACTATTCCTAGAAGCCATTCAATTATCGTCAGAAAGTTGTTAAGATGCACCCCAACGTACCCCAACGATTGTATCACAGTTGTCGTAGTTGTACAGTACTTCTCTTTTCCAGGGAGCATTTTCAAAAGATTTCAAAAAATCTATCCCTAACATGGGTTTTCCCTCGTGCGCTGGATGTCTTAGGCAACCTTTGTGAGTGCATGGTGCAGTGCCTTGCTCAACAGCCCCTGCGTTTGTGCCATTAGGAACGACCGGTTTTTGAGTCCTTAGGTCCACAAAAAGACAAATCTGGTGACGACGAAAACAAGTGTATTGTTGGATCTTAGGTTAAAATCGATTTGTATTGGTGTCATTTGGCTTGCTTTGCTGCATCTCAGCGAATAACATTGTGAGCTTAGTCTAACAATCAACACCTTCCTCAATGCAGTTAACAAGGATCTGCTGATGTGACGATACAGCATATCGACAATTGCCTATGAGAGAAGTCTTTTCATGCAACGGCGAGCCGGAAATGGGAACGAAATGCATGGGAATTTTCAATGAAGTCTTTTCTTCTTGGGAGAACATCAGTCGTTCCGGGATCTGGAGTTTTCCATCATTGATTCTGAGGGGTTTTTTCCCTCAACAGGTGTCTCCTAGTCAAGTGGTTCTCTTGACGGAAATGTTCCTACTTGAGGCCTTCCCTCATGGAAGGACTTGTTGTTTCATGGTTCAATGGGCCAATTTTCGTGAGTCTCGTTGAGGGCACATCAGGAAAGACAACATGCTCAATAAAACCCCTTGGCGTGCAATCTTAAGTCACTTCCGTGTGAGTATAGAGCGAGGAGACAACTAAACGTTTCACGTTAAAAAGATGCCCATGGTTCTGCAACATCCCTACATATTTTCTAGGGGTAACACACTACTCATAATGTTGCTGAAAACCCTTCTGCTGTGTCCCATTAACGGAACACGAATAGTATGATCCATCCGTCCTGGGACTTATCAGGTAGATGTCATAGTTACCCTGCGCATACACACGCACAAGGCGCAGCTCAGTTTGGCGGATGCTGAGTGGTAAGAAAAACCTTGCGCAGCTGCAGTTCAACACCCACCGGAAAAAAAGTTGAATCGTTGTGCGTATGATTAGTGTTCATTCATCCTTTGGCCTGTTTTCACTGTCTGTTGTCAGGACAACACACTTTCTCACACTTTCACACTCATCAGCTCCACATATCCTTGGCCGTATAGGGAGTGAATTCCGAACCTGTCGCACGCAGTAAGAGCATGCAACCATTAGTTAGTCTAAAAATAAAAACGGTTGTTTACAGTCCTGCAGAGTCATGTGACCAGTTGATGTGATGAGGTTTTTTCCTCGTGCCAACGTGTTCAAATCACCCATGGTATTATTTTTATCGACTATGGGACATTTACGTAAAGTAGTAGTTACGTAAGATGGTCGAGCATCGAGCATGTTCTAGTGACGTCTTCGATGCCTGATTCATCTTTGGTTTGGTTACGTCGTCTATCAATCACAGCCGTTGTCACTGTGGTTGGTCTAAGAGAATGAGTTTAGAAACACCACGTTTATGGGGCCTGACAAAATCGCGGTTGACGATCCAGCCGACCAATCTGTCAGACGGAAAAAGGACGGAGTTTGACGAAAAATCATCATCAGTATTGGCTAAAAACATGGTATCTTCGGTTCCTGGACTGGTCATGGCGGTGAGTGGCAGGCAACGAAATGGACCAGGTTAAAACCTATCGAACGAATGGACAGGTTCGTGACTACTTTGAGCAAATGAACATTAGGGGCAAAGGGTACAAATATCACCTCACTATGACTTACTGTGGTCGCTTCTGAGCTTCCAGTAATTAACCTAATGTATAACGAGATGACTGTTAACTAGGGACGCCGGTCGATAGAAAATTTCAAACTGTTTTAGAATATTCTGTTCTTGCTGGACTCAAACACGGGTGTGTACAAGTGTACGTTCACCGGAAAACGCAGCGTGAAGACTGGATGTCCGGAAAACTGAGCAGAATGCTCAAGTTTTGAGGATGCGACATGACCACAGCTGAATCATAAATGATTATCAGGACGATATTCGCCGAACAATCATTTGCACACTGGTCTAGTTGTATATTTGGTCATTTATAGTATTCACTTATTGTATAAGGGGACTACCATAAGCCAGAGGTCAAGCAGAGATTCATCTGAGTCTTTCGTGGAAACCAAATTAGTGAGCAATCGGTATATTTGCTGAACCACAGATTGGGCAAAACCAGTCACAGTTTGTCAGCAACCTCATGAGTAGTTTGTTGCGTCTAGACAATGTTTTACGATTTCTCAATTACCGTACCGACTGAAGCAGGAGGCGACCTGGTGCAGCACATTTAGCTGAGGCGAACTATCATACATGAGAGATATTTAGCTGGATTTACTTGAATTTCCCATGAAAAAAACAAGCAATACTACTTGGCAAATACCAAAGGACGCTTCCCGTCATTTATCCACTGCACTGTATTTACAAATACTGCGCACAATGGGAAGCGGTAGATTTTATGGCAAAGTGCCCCATTCGTGTTTCACTCCCGTTTGCCTTGAAAATAAAAATTTCTTCGTCAAACTCAATAGCACGAGCAGTTCAATGAGACTGCGATAGAGGCAGTCACTCGAAACTTCCCCTAACTAAGATACTATAGCTTCACTTGTCAGCATGTACATTGTGCCAGTTATCCTGATAGGAGGGCGTAACCACCAGGGTTTGTTTATATCATACTGGAAGCTCTCATTGATACAGTCGCTGAACTGCTATGACTGCGGCCGATCGACGAAAGTTCCATGCACTACCTTTCCGGTCCCCGCTCATGACCTGAAGGAATTAGGAGACGATGACTACGGGCCGTGGGAACTGTTTGTAATAACGGGGACGGTAAAAGTCTTTGAAAATGAATCAATGATTTCATAAAGGAAACTACTTACAAGGTTGCTGAAAAATCTTCGACAGCCCACGACCGGTTTCGCCCTTCTTGGGGCTCATCAAGTAGGTACAGTCCCCGAGTTTCCGTCAACCTTATGTTCTACTTGAACTCAAATTGAACTGTTTTCGAGAAATACACTCTCATGAGAACCAAATCGATTTGCAAATGAGCGCATTTCTCGAATCAATGATTTATTTGATTACGTTAGCTCAGCTATCTCCTGCCTCAGGATAGGTCAACTTATTATTGGATGTCTCGGGTCTAGCTTCCAAAATTAGCGTGGTTGGGGTAAAGTTGTATTGTAGTTTGCCTATCACCGACTAAGATGATCGATCAGTTTTCTCCAAGTTGCAATACTCCGAATGAGTTGAAATTTAGCTGTCAAATCAACTCGACATTGTTGTTGCATGCAGCCTTCAATCTCTGTAGTGTGTTGTGGGCAAAGTCAGCTGAATTTAGCTGTATGAGTACTGCCCATTTTGTGTGTGATTTGTTGAGCCTGATGACACTTAGGCTCAAGGAACAAATTTTGTCGCACACTTCGCAAGCAGTTCACGGAATACTTTCAACTCCGTTCATATGGTTTTAACAGTATGGGTTCTGAACTAAGGTCTGTAGTCAAAAATGACCGCATGATTGTGCGATGTCTTGCGGGAATTGAGCGTCAAAGAAGATGTGGTAATGGCTGTTAGGTGAAGTAATTTATGTCAGTAAGATGACGTGCCCGCTACAGCTGCGCTATACACCAGCGCAGAGGCATTGCACTTAAGCTGTTAATCTAAGGAAGTCACCTTCAAAGAGATGGTGACTTCTTTCAGGGAGATCTCTTGAAGTAATACTGAAGTCGCTGTATGCAGCTCGCCTGATTTTCAACCGCATGAAAAATGGAGACTAACCAAGTCGTGATGGCCTTTGAAGGCTGACCCACCTGTGGGATTGCCATGGTCACCCAATTATTCTTTATGTTGTTGCCTGTGGAATTCATCCTCGCCTCGTCGTCGGTTGGCTTCTTCTAGGGAGGGAGTGTTATACGAGCCAACTAAGGAACAAAGGGGGGAAGTCATGTGAGAAACTGGTTGGTAGCGCTAGAAGTTGGCACGGTCCATTCATGAGTGCCCACAGCTCACTCGCATCGTGTTGATTGTGCCGGTTGCCATGGTCTGTAGCCATAGCAACTATCCTATCCGCGTCAAACGCCTACACATAGGGCTGATCTACGCGAGCTTATGTTTGCGGCTCTGTAGAGCCTAACTGATTGAGCCTAACTTGATTGGCATTATGGAAACCGACACGATCAGAGACGAGTGTCTAATGTTAACCCGAAAATCTGTGTGGCTGGATGGAATTGGATTAGAATTGTCTTTTTTCGGTTTCCTACGCCGCCTCGACATTTCCTGNCGGTTCAGCATTTGCTTCTGCTTCTGACCAAAATACTTCAGTCCAGGTGGATAGCAAACTAATGTACATGAACAGTTTTTTATGGAACCTCTTAACCCAAGTAAGGTGAATGATTTCCAAGGCTGGTTGAGTACTGTTCCCGCGTTACTGGGCGACTGACGAACCTGTTAAAAGCCGTTCATTTACTGATCTGTTCTTCCACTTAAAGACTGTTTTAGCCACCAAATACAATAGTTTGATTTGTTCAAAAACATGCAAAAAATACTTCACTCCAATGCCAGGTTTTGGTTTACATGTCAACATCCATCCCTCCGAAGTGAGAACATTATCAAGGATTCATCTGTGTGCTTTCAGCAAGTTTTTTATAGCTAAAAGAACCCACTCACACCATCCTGGCAGAGTTGTTATTTTCCGCTACCAAACCGCAATTCTGAGTAGTTTGAGTTTTGCAGAGCAGACCAGCACTTCCAAAGTATTCACAATTCGATGACCATATTTGGACAGTGATTTCAAAATCGATACCTAATCAATCAATCTCAATACTGTGTCGGTCACCTTCACCGTCCCGATGTCCAGACGCTCGATATGCTCAGTAAACATAGTTCCAATATTCCCCATCATGCGATATTCGGGTGCCATTTCGTGATCATACTGGAAGCCGGTGCACTATTCGGGAACCTGACGAGTCAAGAATGATGGTCAGTGTACTTTTACTTGCTACTGTATCGCTACGATATGGTATACACAACAGTCTGAGATACATGGAAGTGCAACCCTCAGATTAGGTGAAGAGAGCGGATGCTTGAATGACTTCCGTTCCCGATAAGGGTGGGTTACAGGGTGATCTAAGGAAGTTTTTTTACAAGTGGAAATCTAGTTGGGACTACTCTGTTTACCAAACCTGAACACAAATTCCTCAAAATGGTGTGCACATGAAGGCTGGCAGAACGGATGGTGGTCTAATGAGCAGCCGCTGAATTACTCTGACAAATTTTGAGTTAAGGGGTTGTTGTTTTGATCAGGTCATACCAAATACGCTGACTTTTTAACAATGGTCCTCTGTGTACACTAAATTGCGTGGTTTCTGCGCTCCGATCGATCGATCGATCTAACCTTGGTTTCTGTCGAATTTCTCGCCGTCCCGCCTCGCTAGACTTTTCGCGGCTAGATAGCCGCGCGGTGGATCGGACCAATCAGATCTCGTGGACATGTGCATGCTGATCTGTTACACGGCACTTGGCCTGAGAAGTCTGCTACAATCCATGGAGAGTTCTGCAGCAATCAGTATCAGATTGTTCGCATCGAAAGTGTTCCGCTGGCGAGCAGCCAAACAAGATTCTGGACGTTGGGACGCTGAAAAAACTTCATGGAAGAAGTTGGTTTCTCACGGAATTCACAAAGCAGAAGAAATCTATTTTTTCTTGCACCCATGGTGTTCCTGTCTGTTAGACAGGTCCTAGGATCCCCATAAATTACAGTCTATCTTGGAGAGTTTGGGTTACACTTTCCAAGAGGCAGTCGCTTGCAAGAATTTGGGTTAGCCACGTGGGCTGAGTAGCCACAGACGAATCGGTTTCTGCACTTAGTACCCCAAATTCAAGGAAGCGTGCCTTTGAAGATACCGCGAACTACATCTGCTATTACCTGGACGGATTTTGGGTGGGGGGTAAATTTGTTTACTTGCTCTCGCACGTGATGAGTTCTCTGATCACATAACTATTCTGGACGAGTATAGTTATCAGGTCACGCATTCACAAAGCACACTCTTAAGTTTAACTAAATAATCCGTCCGAGAAACATGACTGTCATATTCTATCACTAATACCACGACCCAAAACTAAGGCCCATTCCAACGCCTCAAATTAATGTGTGACACTGTGGTGACAACAATGCTTAGCTTCAGTTTGACTAAAAAAACATACGGCCCGTGAGAAATTTCCCCTAAAAGTCGGATTCATGGGTATAACTGCCTCGAACCATAAGAAAGCGCCCATTGGAGTCAAATTAAATTGTCACTTTTGTTAGGTGAACCGATTGATCTCTCCGCACCAGTATATATAGCAACACGTTGGTGCTGTGGCTTCAAGTTCCACTTTATCAGCAGAACTCACATATCCAGTCACTTGATCGAAACTCTCCTTTTCTTCTGAAGAGAGTAGACATGACCCTTGTGTTGCCTTGACTCATCGTAACAGTAGGCTTTCGTACGTTTCTGACCAGTCAACCAACCTATTTTCTTGTAGTCACGTGGTCATTCCTTTTGGAGTGCAATGAGCAAGCCTTTTTCCCGCCTTGCATCTCGGAACACTCTGATGAAAAGTCTAGATATTGTAGTTTTATTGATTACCACTACATTTCCAGTCACGCCTCGTCCAATAAACATCAGTTTTGGGCCAATAAATTATGCGGCTGCGCCAAACACCAGCTGATCAGCACGACAACGTGGGAGCCCATAATCAGGACAGAACTCCCGTGTAAGAACTCCCCAAAACCCGACAGGCTTGATTCGGCATTTTGGTTGGATTGGTCTGGATCAACGTTTTTTGCCCCATTTACTTCTCACACGACAGCTAGGCCCAAATACGCTCGGCATTGTAGAATGCCGTCAATCCAAAGTTATTTGCACCTTCCAGCGGACGGATAACAGGTGGGACAGGTAGCTTGTTTTTTTCTGGCTGTGGTTGCTACGTTAAGCTAAGAAATGGCTGGTGCAACTGAAGAAGCTCATCACATTTGTGATCAACATTAAAAAAACCTGTACTCGGCGCACAGTGGTTGTAGCTGCTACAGTTTTGTTCGCCGATGATTTTGGGAGACGGGGTAGCTGCTATAAGTGGGGCGCAGACACAGCGGTGTCGGTGGACACTTAATTGGGGAAATCGGGAGATCTATGCATTGAAGGCCATAGCTTGGATGCACTAGTACCAAAGCGGGCGTGACTGGACTATGTCTGACAACTTCTCTAAGAATTTGTGTCCGTCTCAATATCCCCATCCGGAGAGAAAGCAGTTACCAAAGCAGCTGAGTTTGCTGGTAAGTCGGTCAGCTGGCACACGGAACACGTGACCAAGCCAGTGCAACCTGTGGGGTGTGATTAGTTCATCTATTGTGGGTGACTTTTCCTTCCGAAAACCATTCGGACCACTTCAGAATTGCGGATCCGGCGTTCCCACCAGACTCGGGCCATGCTCTGAAGATATTGATGGTCACTCAGTGGCCAGGTTTCTGACCCACAGTATTGTGAACTCGACTCACGCATGCGCCACAGGTGATGCAGGTTCACGAAAGCTGCAATGGTCTTCCCAATCAGGGTGGAAATATCGTTCTTGGATGGGCCACCAGGGCTGATATAGCTGCCTAGGTAAACAAATTTGTCTACTACCTTAATCGGCTCGTCCGCAAGTATGAGGTTAGGATTCGAGCCCACCCAAACTTACACTTTGGAGGTGTAAAGCGCGTGCCAAGTTGTGAGGCCCAACATAGAGCTGGCTGGTTCCGCGTTCTGAGTCTATTCGGTAGCGCGTATAAAACTACAAAAAGTCAGATTTAGGGAGCAAGATATCTTATGCACAAGCGTTTTAATTGCAACCCAACAGTTATACCTACGATAGTGAGCTAAACAGTCATAAAATTAGGTGTATTAGCCCAGTTTCAGTGTTTGTGTGTGTGTTGGCGTGAGTGGCTAGATCAACTAGTGTGACGAAAGCAGAACACCTGATGTAAGAGAAAAAAAGCATACTGAATGTGTAATCATGGTGATAAAAGAATTCCATTCACACCATGTCCTGATACTGGGCTTCTACGTTGGCACGCTGATCAGCTGATGTCTCACCCAACCGTAATGTTTAGTGGCGCAAAACTAATGTCTGTTTACCGGAAGGTAGCACGTATGATTCCCTCCCTTTAAAGAAGTTAGAACTTAGCACTTGTGTGTGAGAGAGGAGGGGATAAAAAGGCGGCAGAACTTGTTGCAAACGCCTACGCACTGGGGTAGAGTATCATTCCATACCATGATTCATTACCGTCACAGCCGTCCTTCCCAAAAGTAAAAGATCACCTTGATATGGTGCGATTAGTTACAGTGAAGAGTAACCCTTCGGGAAGACATTTATTTATATACAATCAACTATTTCTACGGATTTCTGTTATAACGACAAATCTCAAACTAAATGCATATGACCCACTTACCGGACGTATACGCAAAGTACAAACCTTGGGATATGGAAACAAAGTACCAATGGCGCACGAAACCGTAGCTACTCAGGTACAAATTTGTGGATTGGTAGATGCTCTCGATCCCGGCCGATCGATTTGCCGTTTTTCTTAGTTTGTGTGGAACATTCTAGCTGTAACTTGGGCGAAATGGTACTGATTGAGAGATACGTATCAAAATCCTATCAAAGTATATGGGCTAAGAATTTACTACTATGACACGCAGAAACATGGATAAATCCAATGGGCAACTCAAGATAGTCCGGAAGGCGCGGATACTTCAAATAGTGAAACGCTGTCGATCCTGAACCAAGGTAAAAAAATTCAATTCACGAACGAATGGGGTTCGATTAATTTACCAAACATTTTCGGAGCGTCATTCGATAGACGATAATCCAGTAAGAAGATGGATTGTGGTTAAAATACATATTTCAGTATATGCACCACTGACCTGTCGCTTTTGGTGCTGCTCTCCGATATGGTAAGCGGTTTTCCTCCTTTGGAACAACAAGCCATCGAGAGTGACGGCCCTTCATTGCTGACCAGGGGTTCCAAGAGCGATCCTCCTATGCCTCTGAGTACTTTAGCCAAAAATCGATCGACTATTGGGTAGTCCGGTTGCTCGTGCAGCTGAGCAGGATGTTCCTCTCACCCGAACTTATACCACTCGGGATGGTGTATAAAAATGTGTGCCTGTTCAACCCAGAGAGGAAAACACTTGGCTCTAATAAGTACACAGTCAATCTAAACAAAAGTGCAGTGACCAGAGCCAAAACCAGAAACGAGGAGAAAGAAGTACTTGGGAATGCTGCAACCGATAGCTATTATTTAAAGTAGTTCAGTGAGTGTAACTCATCGGGAACGTTTCCCAGTCATTCAGGGGCGACCTGCTCTGAGTGGCCTGTCATCTTTGCAAACTTCGGGATCGATTCATTTCCAGGTTCACTTTGTTCGAATCAGTCCCTCCGTTTAATAGTCATGTAATAATCGTGAGCAATAAATGACCCTCACTGAGGTCAAGGATTTCCAAATCCAAGGCTTTGTGGGATTCACATTTCCCAATGAGGAGTAGACGCCGTTTGTTATGCTCTGAGTCGGCCAGCAAACATCATCTTTGGTTGGTTGTTTTCATGTTGGAATTATATCATTTGAGTGGTCGTTGTACGCTGAAGAGCCGAGTGCCACCACGAAGTCTTTTCTATGCAGATCTGAAATCATCTTCGTTGTAAGTATCCCTTAATTTTTCGGGGTGATTCATTTCACATTACAATAACACCATCGTCCAGCCGCGAGTGGTTTACTCTCAGTAGGACTGACCTACACTCAATCACGACGTAGTCCTCAGATGATCTGATACTAACTGGCTGCCGGTATCCAGGTAAATGACCCGGAATCGAATAGTACAACCAAGGAAATAATCCAAATATATCCTGTCCTATAGGCATCGTTGCTACTATAATTACCTTCAAAGAGCCAACCAAAAGTGGTCTTTTGTGCTCTTTGTCGAAGTCGAGTTTTCCAGGGGAGAAATATCGCTTCAAATTCAGTTGAACAGTATTCTGCTGTATTTCTGTTTAGACGACCTACAGAATGGAATTCCTGTGTCCAGATTTGATAGTCACTTTGTGGCCCAAGCAAGTATGCATAGTAATATCATTTTTGTGGTTATTCGGAGAGACCAGAGAAGTCTTCGAGAAATACACTAATTTGCAAGTCAATTTGGTTTTCACGAGAGACTCAACTGAATCTCTCGTTTATGATAGTCTACAACTGAAAGTGCTGCACACAGGCCGCATCATGATTCAGTTGGCACGATATTCGAGATATCGCAGTATATTTTCATAAAAAAACGACTCACAAGGTTGCTGAAAACTCTTCGACAGCCCACGACCGGTTTTACCATCCTTGGGGCCCATCAGGTAGGCGCAGTCCCCGAGTTTCCGTCAACTTTATGATCTACTTGAACCAAATATCATAA